CAGAGGCGGGGGTGTGTGTGGAAATAACGGGGACAGAGCTGCTGTCAGACGATCACGATACCTTAAAGCGAGCTCCGCGCTGCAGTGGAAACGCGCCATTACATCACCAGAAGTCCTAATTTAAGGGGTCATTTCTCCCAAAAAAAATGTTTTACTCACTATATCAACAGCCCCACCAAACATATTTTCCACCAGCCGCCACTGGTTGGAGCGCTAGTGTTACATAGTGATGGCATTATGTTACAGAAGAAAACAAAGGAGCTCAATCAAGCCATTTCAGAGCATAATAGATTACAATAAAAAGCTTCCATTACCAAACTGGAACTCAATCCCAGTAAAGATTAGAGAACAAAACACCTGCAGTTTATTTAAATCTAACTTAAAAACATGGTTAGTGGAAAGTCAGCTCTGTCAACACTGACACAATCTGCACTTTACAATGCTCTGTTTGTACATGTGCCTTGACCTGTTGCTATCTGTCTGCTTTGTGAATATGTATTTTTGTTTTTATGTTTTTATATATGCTTTTATCATAATATAAGTATCTCTGTTGAATGTTGTTTTACTGATTGTATTTACCTGTTATTTGAAGTGAATTTTTGTTTTTAGGATGACTTTCAACATCTGTCAGGGACTACAGACGAAAAATAGCCTGTTGGCTAACTCTGGCGCATTTACAGAAATGTCAATCAATGTGCACTGTCCCTGTCAAATAAATATATAAATAAAAATAAAAATAAATTAAACGAAAGTCATGAAATACAGAATACTTTAAAAGACTCTAAGTTTTAGTTCATTCTATTTGATACGATCAATTACAATGCAGGTGAACTGGATTACCTTAATACACCAAAAGGCATTGAAGAAGCATTGTGGGTTTAAATGGAAAGACATACAAAGTCAAGAACCAGTAAGGTTTGACCTTTAAGGAGCCCTAGGATGAGGAGGCATAATCTTTCTTAACACTAAAGCAGTCTGCGAGAATGTCAGTGAGTGTGTGGAGACAGATAGCTGCCGGTTTCCACCAGAGATGAGGAGAAAACGTCCGGAGAGGATAGCTCCGTCCAATCTGCCTTGCCCTTAAGACCTCGTCAGTCCCTGCTGATGAATTTAGCCATTATCAAAGGTGAGGGGTCTGCTGAGAGAGGTCTTAAATGAGCGACAGGGAGGAGAGATTGGGGATTGAGTGGCCAATATTTGGAGCAGCAGGGAAATAAAACGCTGGCAGAATAGCCACGCCCAGATAATCTTATTCCAATAATTGGATTTGCTGCAGAGTTCTTAGTGATGTTTGAGACTGGATAAAACAAGTAGGGAGTAGACACAAATCAGTGAGAACCGATCCTGAGCCTGTGTCAACTAATTATTATCACTGAGTAAGACAGCACTTTTGACACCTCACGCTTCTTGAAAGATGGGAGATATTTTTTCTTTGCAATCATTGACTTTGCTTAGCTTTTCTTTATCATGAATGTTATTTGAGTTTAAGCTACCATGTTTGACAACTGCTTGAAAACACACCGGACTCAATACTATTTACAATAAATTCCTGCCTGTAGAGACGTGCACACATAGGTAGTGCTTGAGCACCTGCCCGTTTTGCCCTCTGGACAGCAATTGCCCTTTTGAAAGTTTGTTTTTTACAGCTTTTTTTTTACAGTGTACTGTATGTGGCTCATGGTAACATCGATCAATTCTGGATTAAAAGCTTCTAATATATACAACAATGCCCCAAATGCGCGTTGTAATTTTGTCAGACATCCTCACACGTGCCCCGCGGCACTCCCGTACATGCCCTGGCTGCAGCCCCTCCCTCTGTGGAACGCCATTTGCGCCATAATTCGCGCGTTTATTCGCGCGGATTAACGGGGAGGTCCGTTTATTCGCGCGAAACTACGCGCGAATAAACGGGGAGGTCCGTTTTATAAACGGGGAGGTCCGTTTAAGTTCAAAGTCTCAGTAACCAATCAGTGAAGAGCAAAACCAGACCAAAGCAATCTGTAGATGAAAAGTTCCTGACATTGTGAGCAGGGGCGGATCTAGACAAATATTCATGGGGTGGCAAGAGGGTGGCAGGAGATTTTGAGGGGTGGCGTCCCCTGACAGAAGTATATGCTGATTTAAATCGCAATCATATCAATCAATTAGGGGTGTAACGGTACCCGTACTGAAATTATTCGGTACGGGCCCTTCGGTTCGGTACACGTGCCCTTCGGTTCGGTACACGTGTGAACGAATATAGCGTTAAACGTAAACAATTGAGAACATGAACAACTTTCTGGAAGTAATCTCAGGTATATATCATAGAGCGACCAAGTCATTTCATTGGACGAGAGGCATACTATGAGAGCTGGTCACAGGGATGCGTTCAAATGTAGTCAGTAATTTGAGGAACTGTCGAAATGGCGAACGCAGATCAAGTTGAGCTTGAAAATCCTCCAGCATCATTGAAGTCTCCGGTTTTGGAACATTTTGGTTTCGCAGTTACGTACAAGGATGACGGACAAAGACAGGTGGACCGAACCAAAGCTGTTTGTCGGCATTGTTCAACTAACATTGGTTACGCGGCTGGCAATACATCAAACTCATTTGAAAAGGCATCACCCGAATGTGAATATCACCGGTACCAAAAGAAAAAAGACTGAAGTGCAAATCCAACTCCCACTAGCATGTAAGCCTCCACCACTCGCAAAGAGTTCAGACCGAGCCAAAGCTATTACAAACGCCAAATATCCTTATGTTGCCATGTTAGCAAAGCGCTACCTGGCTGTATCTGCTACCTCTGTCCCTAGCGAGAGGGTGTTTTCCACAGCAGGAGACATTGTTAGTGCCAGCAGATCTGCCCTTTCGGCAAGCAATGTGGACAAGTTCATCTTTCTTTAAACAACATGAAAATACAATGACAAGCAAGTCCTAATGTCAAGCTGGCTGCTTAGGTACAGTACAGTTCAAATACAGATGATTTCAGTTCATCGAAATGCTGCACCTTAATGTTTATTTTACTATATTTTGTATTTATTTGAATACATTAGTCACAGTTTAATAATAATTAAAAAAAAATATTTAATGTTTTGTGATAATTGTTTCTGCTGTACCGAAAACGTAACGAACCGAACCGTGACCTAAAAACCGAGGTACGTACCGAACCGAAATGTTTGTGAACCGTTACACCCCTACAATCAATGTTAACTTGGAAAGCCACAATATTAATATTTTAACTCAATCACATAGGTGATATTATTGTGGCACATCAGTAAAGCCTTACATATAAGGTGGCAGACGTAATGTAATGAATTTTAACTGAACAATAACTGAATGAGTTTGTTTCACTCTTAGACCAGCAAGGGAACCAAATCTATGCAGACTGCTGCAATAAGTACATTAATTAACTGTCTCATCGATGTTTGTCTGAATGAATATGATACTATTAACAATCATATTATTCCTATCAGCTGTCAATCACTGTTAATAAATAATAATAATAATAATAGATTTAATTTGTTAGCGTTTTTACAGGTGCTCAAAGACGCTTTACAGATATAGTGAAGAACTGTTATGATTCACATATTCATTTATTATTGAATAAACTATATTTTTTGGAGGAGTTAATGATGAATGTTCATCAAGATGCTTGCTCGCCCTCCTTCAAATTTGAAAACAAGTAATTATATCATTATTGATATACAGTTACAACCTTGACTTTACATCAGAAAGAACAAATATTAAAGAAGTGACTAACTGCATCAGTTAGGGTTAAAAAACGTGTATTCAGCTAAAACATCGCTGCAGTTATGATCCAGTGGAAGGTCCTTACCTACTGGCCTAGTTAAATCAAAGTGGTTACTTTCTGTTGGCTGGGCAGTGTAGTTTTACACACCGTCTTATTTTACTTTCTCAGGACTTAAAACTGTTTTTTGGGGGCAGACCCCCTCAAAGAAAAAAATATATACACGCATACAAGGTCATCATCTTAACAGTTTGTTATTCTCATCGAGTCATCCGTGAGCAGTGCATCAAGTTGGCATGTCTATTACAGCTGAATGCGGCGATTACTATTTTGTTCAGCAAAACGCCTCACAAACTTATTAAGATCAACAGCTGTAGTGCGTTTTGATTCAATGCTGAGTACAGCCAAACTGACAGTCTCTTCTCTGTCAGTGTAGACCGCAACTACCTCATTCCTTCAGTGCTTGGATCCGAAAGGCTTCTCGTTTTGCGCCGTCCCGTTCAAGTGAATTCGCCACCAATCATATTTCCACTCTCGCGCCAGGACCGGGGGAGGGGTTACATGACGTGCATCTTGTGCTGCATTCACTTACACTCGGACATTAGAGACTTTCTCTTATAAATGTCCGATGAGCCACAACTTTTCTTTCAAAACAAAGATGCCAACTGGGGTGGCAGCTGGGGTGGCAAGGCTATTGTTTAGGGTGGCAGTTGCCACCCCATGCCACCCCGGTAGATCTGCCCCTGATTGTGAGGCTGTAAATTGTACATTATTCCAGATTCAGGGGACTATGTATTAATTTGGCTTTCAATATAATAAATATATCAATCAATATAACCTGCCTTCATTGTCTTTTAAAATAAAATCGCCTTATCTTACTGAAGTGAAGGGTATTTATGTCTCCTTAAATCACCTTTTAAATGTACTTCTTATAACATGGCATGGTGTAACATATCAAAATGTTCTTGCTAGAAATGCAATGTCACTCACCTTAGAGCACTGTCTTATGAGATACTTAGCTTAGAAATCAGATTTTTGGAAAACTTAAAAACTCTTGTGAAAACACAGATGTACTCATGTCATCCATTTTTTTTGGTGTTTCAGATTTGGTTTACCAACGTTTTTGGTTCACAAAACTATTTATGTTAACATAAGAAACTGTAACATCTCAATATTTACAATCCAGGGTTCATACACTTTTTCACCAATGATTTTAAATGACTTTTCCATGACCAAAACAATGACTCTTTCATGTGGCTAGCATGCACTGCCTCGCCCATATTCGAAATATTGAATATGTTACAACACAGTTTGCATTTAGCACATCTTGGGTCAATGTCTTTTGATAACCACAATTGGTACTTATTCTTTAGAAGCCATACATTGTTGAAACTGCACTTCCCTGGCATCTTTATATCAAATAGTAGCTCCTGTAGACTAGAGGGCGTGATTGTAAACATCTCTCACCAGCGAAATACTGCCACAGTTGCCATTTTACGTTTCATTATACGATACAGTATTTATCATTATAGTATTACTATGTCGGCGATTAGATAACATATAAATTATATTTGATGCAACTTTAGTTATATTTCCATGACTTTTCCTAAACTTTGAGGAAAATATTGCATTCCATGACTTTTTCAGGTTTTTAATGACTGTACGAACCCTGACAATATCAGAACTTTCTCAACCAACTATTCATTATAAATGTAAAGACAGGGGGAGCAGTACCATGGTCTTTGTCTGTCTTCCAAGACAGTGGGTCTGGCTGCTGTGTAGGTGGGGGTGATGGTGCATGGGCTGCTGGTGGCTGTGTCGGCGGGAGGGAGGTGTGCTAGGCGAGACTTCTTTGCTGGCTGGGTTGATCGTGATGGCTGTGGTGGAGGCCTTTGTACCGAGGTGTATCTTAATCTTGTGGCAGGCACAGATGGAGATGGAGGCTGCTGTAGTGATGCTGGTCCTCTGGTCCTTGGTGGTGATGGCTCTGGTGAAGGCCCTTGAGCCACGGTAGATCTTGACCTGGGTGCAGGCACAGATGGAGGTTCTTGCTGCTAGGCCCAAGCAGCTGTGAAATCGGAAATAAATATAGGACAATAATTACTACTAAGTTCATTAAAATATAAAGTTCAAGTGGAATGTTTCTCAAGCACAAATAACAATGCAGAACTCAAAATAAAATGGGGAGGTGGGACAGGAGTCTCTCTCTCTTACAACCTATTTAACTAAACCCACACAATGAAAGTACACTATTACTGTAATATTTACATTGACCTATCTTCAAATGGATCCTTGTTGTTGTTGCTGTATTCTCCAGGTTCTGATGCTCCATCTCCACTGCTGCTAGTGTTACAAGTCCGCTGTGCAGAGCTGGTAATCAGATAATAAGCCTGTTGAACAGGAGAAAAGAATGAAACAGAGTGAAAGTTGCTGCCGTTTGTGTGGTTGTCCTAGCCAGAATTTATTAAACACATTAATAGATTCACTTACAAATTATATCCGTTTTCTCTATTTATGTATCTCTGCGTTGTGTTGTGTGGTCGAATGAATATGACTTCCTTCTTGCCAACCAGCTTTATTATATGTGCAAACAGAATATAAGGAAATGGCTTCACCAGCTTTCTACCTCAATACTTCTCCTCAGTGAGGCCTGAAGCTAACTGAGAATGTAAAAATACATTTAGCCAATCAAAATAATTGTATGTCTGACATATTTCGTTTTCTAATCAAAAATGGACATACATCCACATGCCATATGAGGTTCATGAAGGATTAAAGCCTTTTTCATTTACAGTATATGATACAGTGATAACAGATAACACAACCCGACTGTACTCACTTTAACATGGCTGTTGTATAGGCACAATATTAGCATAGCATTAGCGCTTTAGCATTTAAATAATATGAACAATTATGACCTCAGACCAGCATTTCACATATTTATACAAACAGAATAAACTTGAAATGTAAGCCAGACTAGTGCACGGGACTCATACACATAGTAGAGCTACATTATTCAGGGAGCAACAGCCTGTGTTAAAGAAGCTAGCGGACGCCATTAGCCACACGCTAGTAGCGTAGCTCACAGAATGACATTAAACTACACATAAAACAGTTTCAAAGACACTTCTTAGATCGAAATATGACATAATCTGTGTACACACTAGTGATGGCAGTTTGACACTGAAGCTTCGAACGGAGCTTCAACCCTGGACTTCCTATTCCAGAGAAGCAGTGCTTCGAAGCTTGCTTCAAATCACGTGACATATGACGTCCGAAGCAGCAACTGCTTCAAATCACGTGACATGTGACGTCCGAAGCAGCAACTGCTTCATTTCCTGAATGAATCAATTGACTGGTTCACGGTCCATTCACGCGATTCAATGCACTGCCTCGTCTCGATTCTGACAGGTGACAGGTTGAAACAGTTTCAAACTTGAGGGCTTCAACACTTTATGACCGCACTAAACAATGCGCAATGTGTGGGTCGTTGTCGTAGTTTGCGTTGTTGCTGTTGAGTTGTTGTTATTGTTATTGCATTTGATATCATTATAGAGCAAGCCAGGAAGTAAGATAGGTCGTTCTGGCTCGGGAAACACTTCGAAATGTGGAGAAGTTATGAACAAAAAGACAATTATCAGTAATATAAAAACAGTTAAATATTTCAAGGAATAGATAGCCCAGTGGGTAGAGCCGGCGGCCCGAATGCGGCGATGTCCTCGGTTCACCTCCTGGTTCAAATCCCGGAATGGACGTATTTTAATCATTGCTTTTCAACTTTAATAACTGATAAAAGGCCCTCTCCGCCCAAAAACATGTCTAGCACTCTCTAGTCTCTTCTCAATAATAGTTGAGGCGCATTTTAGCGATGTGCCAGTGGCAGGTAAACATTTCAATATTGCTAATACAACAATTATCTTCACTTTATTTATTATATAGTAGCCTATGAACTTCGTATGTGTAATACAAATAGATATTTAGATATATTGTGATATACATTCATTTATTCTTTCCTTATAAGCTATACGTGTATATCTGTATAGTGTCTGTAGAATTCCAACACAGAGAAATGTTGTCAGTAGTTTATAGAATAAAAAAGGAAAGGTTAATTTGACTTGGTCTCAGAATTGTTTACAGAGCTGTGTGTGTGTGTGTGTTGGAGTATAGTTATTGAACAATACTGTGTCCTGTGTTTGTCTTTTACAGGGGGGCAAAGGTCTTTACATGCAGCTCAATGCTACTGCCCCAATTCTCGCCGTGTATGCCAACCCTGAAGCCTGTCTAAAGAAGGACTTTAGAGTTAAGCGATCTAGTGTGGTGTATTTAGTGCAGATGCTTTCCTCCCCAAAGGACCACGGATGGGGACAAGACATCGAGGTGCTTGTTCTCCTCTACAGCTTGGCCCATGGACTATCGCTCTCTGTGGTGGGTTCAGCATTCGGGATTCCCAAATCGACGGTCCACAGGATCATCAAACACGTCACCGGGAAGATAAAGGCCAACCTGAAGACCCTCATTTCCCTGCCAACCGCAGATGAGCTGCCAGAGATTGCAGATGGCTTCTGTCAGCTTGCAAAGAGTCCTGCATTTCACCGTGCTGCTGGTGCGATTGATGGATGCCATATTCGCATCAAACCTCCAGGAAACGAGTACCACAAGGAGTACATCAATTACAAGCTGTTTCCTTCCATCCAGATGCAGGCCATTTGTGACTCAACTGGGAGATTCCTGGATGTCTTCATCGGCTATCCAGGCACCGTTCATGATGCCAGAGTACTGCGAAACAGCCCCATCTTCTGCCAGGCACTGTTTCCCCCAGCTGGTTGGTTCCTCCTTGGGGACGGTGGTTATCCCTGCCTGGAAAAACCAGTGGGATTACTCACACCCTACAAGGTCCCTCGCGGCCAGGTGCAGGCCAGATTCAACAGGCATCATGCCAGGGCTCGGTCTGTGGTGGAAAGAGCATTTGGAAGGATGAAGGCTCGCTGGAGGGCCACCCTTTTCAAAGCGCTGGAGGTCAGTCCAAGCTTTGCCCCTGACATCATTGCATGTTGTGCATTTCTGCACAATCTGTGCATAGACATGAACGATGTCCTTGAGGTTGCTGAAGCCTTCCCCCCTGAAGATGGGGACCAGAGTCCTCCTCCTGCCGCAGCATGTGGACAGGAAAGTCCTGGACACCACCTAAGGAACAGGATTGCTGCACAACTCTCTGCTCCTGTCCAAATGGCACCACACCTGAGAGAGCACGATTACATCTAATGAACTTTGTTTTTTTGTGTTTGTCTGTTAACTTGTGTTTTTGAAATGTGCACACATACCTGATTTAATTTTGTTTGTTTTAGTGAGCTCCACTTCTCACTTTAGAGAAAAGAGGTGAAATAAAATAAACCTGTGCACCGTTGATTTCAAACTTGGTTTTCCTGAATTGTCGTTCTGCATAATCCCAAATTGGAGACAAATGTCCTTAGCTCTTGGATCATTCAATCACGAGCACAGAGCAAAGGTTCAGAAAATGAACACAGGTCTTCTAATACAATCACTTTTGTTTTTGAGTGAAACTCTGCAAATGGTTTGACATGAGCAATTAAGACCGTAAATGTCATGTATATTTTAATGCCTTATACCTATGAAGCGCACAGACATATCTTTATTTAAAATGCTGATATTCAGGGTTAATCTTCAGACTTTGGAAAAAACACTTTAGTTCCGTGCACAACATTACTTTGTGCAAAACTTTTCCTTCTACATTATGAAACCCACACAGAACAATGTAGCCATCTAACAATCAAGCATTTACTATATCCCATACAATATTGAAGACATGAAGGACAGTACGTTAAATTAGGTTTATTGTCTTCCAAATAAATAATACAAGCGAACAAAAACAAGTCTTTTAAGTAACATCAATAATCAACATAGAAATGGCCAATGGTGGGGGGGAAAAAATAAATCACATTTTGTCGACCATTTTTTCGAACAGGGTTAGAAATGTATCTGAGTGCTGCATTATTTCTCTGTGGCGTTCGTCCTCTTTTTCTGCCTCGCATTCTAGGCACTCCAGCACTCCCATAGCACCTTTTCTTTTTTTGGGGGGGGGGCTGCTGGGTGGTTCCAGCCTCAGACAGTGATGAGGGTGGTGAGGGGTCTGGATCATCAGCCACATTTGGGGGGGGAAGGAAGAGGAGCAGGAAGCAGCCTCCGGATCGAAGAGGATTGTGGGGTTTGCCAAGGCTGAGGCAACAAGGACAGGAGGACTAATTGAAGGCCTTGCACCTATGGCCTCATCCATGGCCATGAAGAAGGGCCATGTTGCAGGGGTTTCTTCCTGATCAGTCCCTGTTCCAGTCCTTGGCCTTTTAAGTTCCTATTGCAAACAAATGCATGTTAGAAATCTTTGTTCAGCTTTTTCAAAAACAAACATGTTTTACAAGCGGCCGAGATGGGTTTTCTCCGCAGGGTGGCTGGTGTCTCCCTTAGGGATAAGGTGAGAAGTTCGGTCATCAGGGAGGGACTCGGAGTTGAGCCGCTCCTCCTTCGCGTCGAAAGGAGCCAGTTGAGGTGGTTCGGGCACCTAGTTAGGATGCCACCTGGGCGCCTCCCTAGGGAGGTGTTCCAGGCACGTCCAGCTGGGAAGAGACCAAGGGGTAGACCTAGGACCAGGTGGAGGGATTATATCTCTTCGCTGGCCTGGGAGCGCCTTGGGATCCCCCAGTCAGAGCTGGTTGATGTCGCCAGGGAAAAGAAAGTTTGGGGCTCTCTGCTGGAACTGCTACCCCCGCGACCCGACCACGGATAAGCGGGAGAAGATGGATGGATGGAACATGTTTTACAATAACAATACACCATTTACCTTGTATTTCTTTTTTAGGTTCTCCCATTTCTTGGAGGCCTGTTTGTGAGACACATGTTGCCCAAGGTCCAGTTCCTTAATGATTGACCTGTTATCATAGAATATTTAAACAATATATATTGGTGTTAAGGCAATGACCCACAGTGCACATTCATTACTTTCATTGCACAAAATATGAATTGAGTGCATAACTCACTCCCATGCTTCTTTGGCAGCATTGCGTTTTTTGCAGAACAGGTCATCCTTTTCCATTCTTAAAGCAATAAGTGCCTTGGTTTTTACCACAGTCCCTGAAATTACAAATCACACTTAAGTTTAAACCGATTTCGTAAGTGAATGGATACATGAATTGACACATGTGTTGCTGTGCAATTAATCGTATTTTAATCGCGATTATGGCTTGCGACGATTATGAAACCAGCATAATTGACAAAATACGATTATTTTGCTGGGTGCGCTTTCGCCCCTCCCTAAAAGCCCACTCGGCCACGTGGGAGTGACATGTGTTGTGAGTGTTCAGCGCGAGCGAAGATGTCAGAACAAGAGCAGCAACTCGTTAAAAAGAAGGGTAAAACTATTTCCACTATTTGCAAGTACTTTGCCATTACATTTCACATCGCTAAAGATATGTGCCCAGTTAGCACTGTTAGCAACCAGGGCTTTAAGCAACTTGTCAACACCTGTGATAAAATGGCATCCAATGTAATAAAAAAAGTCAATCAAAGAACTAGATTCCTATACCGGATCTCCTCTCTGGTAAACAAAAACACCCTGAAAACTCTGGCAGGAGCACTCATTCAAGGGTACTATGACTATGCTTGCACGTCATGGTACCATAGCACCTCCAAGGCGCTAAAAATAAAACTTCAAACATCGCAAAATAAACTGGTCAGACTACTGCTTGACCTTTCATCTAGAACCCACCTCACCTCTGCCCACTTTGACAACCTAGGATGGCTTAGAGTAGACGACAGAGTACAGCTACTTGCAATGGGCCTGGTCTACAAGATCCACTACACCTCTATGGTACCCATGTACATGTCAAAATTCTTCCCAAAGGTCAAGGAATACCATGATCATAACACCAGAGGGAGCTCCACAAATCATGTGAAACCCAGATTTGGCACAAAAAAGGGGGAATACACGTTTCGCAATGATGCCACATCAAGGTGGAACGCTCTTCCCACAACTGTAAAGGAAAGTAAAACTATACCTTCAAAACCTCTCTTAAAGAGCACCTTCGGGGGAGAGCATTGCAAAACTGGCCCCAGTAATGGTACAAATCTCAACCTGTCGTTCAATGGACAGCTTCCCCCCCCCCCCCCCATCTATGTATATACTCGCATTTTAGACTCTGTTACTAACTGTATATCTGTAGACTTGGTATGTCTTAAATGTCCGGTTAGGATGTATTAGAACGAAATCTAAAATAAAAATTGTAAATAAGCCATCTGTATGTCAAATATGTCTTATATGTCTTAAATGACATGATGAATTGGAAATGGGGGACCCTGATGTAAACAAGACGAAAGTATTTCTCTGGTCTGCATCCCCTTAACAATTGTATGTTTTGAGCTGTACTGTACCCAATATACAAGCTGTTAATAAACTTTTCAATCAATCAATCAATCAATCACGTTGGACAAGCGTTACGCGATGCCGTCTCGGTATTATTTCAGCAGGTCTGCGCTGCCTGCACTATATGACAAATGCCGTGGGGAAGTTGAGAGAGATGTGGCTTCAGCTGACTACTTTGCTACCACAACAGACCTATGGTCTAGCCCAGGGGTGCCCAACCAGTCGATCGCGAGATGTGTCTAAAAAAAACAACAACAATATTCTGTTTTATCGTTAATGTCCTGTAACATAATCTTCATGTGCCAGAATATGCACGTGAACGCATCAAAGCTTTGTGATTGGCCGGCGTCACCCCTGTGTCGGGGCGTGGCTGAGGGTCTTCAGTACAGGTGGCAATATCGTCACCTGCCTGCGCTCATCTCTGAAACCAGACCATGTAAACAGCCTGGTGTTTCTTGCAAAAAATCTTTAAGAGATGACACGAGCAGCCCTACCAGCATTTGCCATGGTGGCCTAAACATTTTTATTTGGTCTTAAATTGTAGTTCAACATTTATTTCCTGTTACTTCTGGACCATGACGGTTGGCCAGCCTTCAACGTTTAACTGAGTGGAATATGTTGAATATGTTTTACCAAAATGTTGGCTATATGTTAAGGAGTTTTCAGTAGGTTGTGACAGTGCACTGCAACATATTTGATTTAATTTATTTTGGTCTAATTTATTTTTATTGATCATATTAATAATATATGTTTAGTATGGTTTTGGAAGTGCGCTCCAACATATTTGTTGATCTTGTTTATTGGTCAAATATTATTTGTTTTAAAGTTCAATAAATGGTCAATGAATAATCGTCAAAATAATCGTGATTATGATTTTTGCCATAATCGCACAGCCCTAGTTGTTAGTTTGATTCCGATTTAGATTTGTACATCTTCAAAATAAAAATCTAATGTAATCTTGGCAAATCAAATTAACACGTGTAGATTTATAAATACATGTTCACAAAGGCATGTTTTAGTTAAGGCAACGTATTATTTATCGTTTAAAAAAATAACCACATGGAACTCACATTTGTATGACGTTGTTTCCTCCATGCCCGAAAAACGGTTGCACACCTGTGGAGTGAGATTATCAAGCCTGCATCCATGCAAACTCGCTGTCGGAGGCTTTTATAACCCACTACGCCTCCGCCCTAATTGCTTTGGACCAGCCCTCAATATGGCGGACCCTTCGCTTGAACGCGCAAACGGAGGGGTAGGGTGTAGGGGGCGGGTAGGGTGTAGGGGGCGGTTTGGGAATGGGCCTCAGTCAGACAGGCCACAGCGGGTGTGTGGTGCAGCAGCACGCAGCTCACTAAATCCTAGTAAAGATATGGGCTGCTAATCAGTGTATGTGCGCGTGAGAGTCAGCAGTTAATATTGTCCCTGGTGGGTGGATGCTCCTGCTGTGCTGCTGTAACTCACACCAGCTGGATTCAGGCTATACTACTGCTGCAGCTCGAACCATAACGATCCGTAGGGGGAAGTAGGAGGGGAGGGGGGGGGGGGGTGATCTATGGTCCAGTCCTCAGCACTCCGTTTTAGGAAACTTCTCTAATTTACCTTTCCACCCCGTCCTCCTCCTCCTCCTCCTCCTCCCGTTGTTGTTGTTGTTGTTGAATAATTCCCCTCGGAGAGAGAGGGGAGATCGAGCGCGAGCAATAGGGGGAGAGCGAGCGTGATTCACGGGTCATGACAGCGCCTGTCATTCCTGTCATATTTCATAGCCTTTGCAGGTGAACTCGACACTGCACAACACGCACAGGCCGGAGAGAGAGCTAAAGGTCCCACA